CATTAGCTTAGTGATTTTCCTTGAGGAATACCTGTGTGGCGGTTGTATGAAATAGTTCAGTTTTATCTCTGGAAAGTGCTACGAGTGATAACAGTGGGTTCGAGTGGTTTTTACTGCTGTACTGTGTGTGATGTGTTAGATCGAGAGCCGATCGTGGGACATGGATTATGTCAACTGTGATTCTACCATTTAGAGGTAAGTTTTGTACCTGCATATTTTAGGCACATTTACCTTGAATGTTTGTTCGCAATGTTTCTATACACGCGAAATGCACTACAGGCCAATTTGGGCAAAATGACTGTCGCCATATTCATGTGCCGTTCAATGCTTGTGCCAAAGGCGTGCACGCGTCTTGGCAACTAACACCAGTAATTACATATGTGCATGTGAATTAATTTGACGTTCATTCGGAGTAGTTTAAGGTTGATGAAAATAATACCTGCTTAAATGATGCTTAATAATTCTTACAGTTTAAACCACAATGCCCATCAAATTTTTCCTAAACTGAACATTTGTTTTACACGCTCCTGTTGTTTTGGGTTTATGATAAAGGTGTGTTGTACGTCTTTGCAAAGCTGTATTGATACTGTTCATGTGGGTTGGTCAGGTTATACTGTTGCTAGATAAGCGTTTTATAGGTCAACGTGGTTTTAATGTGCGCTCACTATGCATGAATATACTTTTCAGGTAGTGCACAAAGATGTAACCAACTCATTCCACATCTCGAGATACGTTCCAGCACTTGCTACAAGTGTTCAAATAAATGTTTTCAAGTTTCAAAACCATTTTTTTTTTTTGTCTGTGTTCAGTGATCTGGATGAACAGGTCCTGAGGAACTAGATGCTAGTACGTATGCAATAGCAGTGAGGTGAAAATCTGGACATTCTTTCAAGGCTTACCAAAAGCCATTTCCTGCTTAAAATGTTTCCGTTCTCAGCTGGGAATATTTCAATTCCCAGCTGCATTATGGAACCTGGAAATTTTTCAACACTGAAAAAATTTTCATTCCCAGCTGAGGAATATTTCCATTCTCTGCTGAATTATGAAACCTAGAAATTTCTCCAGGCTGGAATTTTTTCCATTTCCAGCTTGGAATATTTCCATTCTCTGCTGGATTATGGAACCTGAAAATTTTTCCTGGCCAGAAACATTTTCTATTCTCAGCTAGAATTTCCAGCCTGGAAAAATTTCCAGGTTCCATAACCCAGCTGGGAATGGGAATAATTTTCACCAGGGATCGCAGTTCGCACAGTGGGGTGTGTTGTTACAGTCATCAGAGTAGTGTTCATGCTCACCGCATTTTGCACACGTTGGCCGTCCATGGCAACTCAAAGATCCGTGGCCATACCTCTGGCACCGGAAACATCGTCTGGAATTAGGTATGTACGCTCTGACACGAACTTTCATATACCCTGTTTCAATATGTTCTGGGAGCCTGCTCGAGTCGAATGTAAGGATGAGGTGTTTCTTGACTGGTGTTTCTTTGTTATCCCTGCGTATCTTTATTCTCTTAATCAATCACATTTTGCTCTTTCTATCCGTCCAATAATTCTGCCTCAGTCAGTGTAATCAGGTCATTGTCTGCCACTACACCATGAACCGTATTCATGGATTTGTGTGCTGTCACAGTTATGGGGATATCTCAGAATTTCTCAAGGCTGGCAAGTTTCTCATGTTCGGATTTACAAAAGATCTCACGAAGAAGATCTCCGCTTGGCATTTTACTGATCTTATATCCTGATCCTAGTTTTTCTTGGAGGCATTTGGCAACAAGGAAAGGTGAGACACCTCTCACTGGCTTGTTGGTTTGCTCGCTGTAGATTACATGATACCGGGAGAAATTGTCTTTGTACGCAAAAAAGCTCGATGTCACTTCAGTGTGCACCCTTTTGAGAGAGCGATCAGAAAGCGGAGACAAGGGCGTACCCATGAAATGTTTTATGATTCAGCAGCTATGGTAGCCACCCACCATCGAGCCCAACAAGGGGACGCTGCAATGCTTGGGTAACACATGTACACGCCAGCTATACATAGCTGCTATAACCCAATATATTATATCCAAGGCTGGATAGAGAACAGAAGGTTAACCCAGGCCGCCTACGAAAACTGGGAAGCAACTGAAAGGATTAGAGGACAGGACAGCAAGGAAAGAAGATAGGAAAGAAAAAGGTAGGAGAGCACGGATAGGAAAAGGCGACCACCGATTTCCCCTGGGTGGGTCAGCCCAGGGGTGCCTTCTACGTGAAGCCGGGGCTAAAGGGATGTGTTGCTTCTGCTGGGGGCTTTTATGGTCCAATCACCCGGCGTCAGCTCAACCCCCAGGGCCCCCTTTTCCCAGGACACGACTCAGCCACACACGGCTAAGCGTGAAAGGGAGTCGAAACCTCCCCCCGTTAGCTTGGGTTCGTGGTGTCCCTACACACCAAACGCCTACTTGCACAGATGCCCCTGCAGGGTTGTTAATACTATCTAAAAGGAGCGTCATGCCAACCCATTGCTGTGTGCTCTGTTGTAAGCAGACAGAAGTTCATGACAAGGACAAGTCAAAATGCAAACTTGCTAGGGCACTTGCCCTTCCAACATGAATACCATATTTACTTGCGTAATGAACACACTTTTTTTTAGTCGAAAAATCGGAGTAAAGTTGGGGGGTGCATTTATTACGTGGGGTAAATTTTACGAAAGCTTTTTCGGAAGAAGAAAAAAATGTGGTAATGGAAAAAAAAGTTAGTTCGTTTAGCCTTTTGCAATTTACATAAGCGTACACTGTTTGGAAGTAGGTTCTTTGTTGCACTTTACTCATCTTCGGTGGTTGATGGCGCTATCTTCTGCAAGCTGTCTCCCGGCGGCCGGTGGTCCGCTTATCTTACAATCATTTAGCTGCAACAGTGGTATCTGCTTGAGGGGCGCCCAAAACTTGCACTCACGAGGAAAACGGGAATGAAGGGACAGTTAGAGTGAAGAAAAAAGAAAGTAGACTAAAAAAGAAAGGGGGAGAAGATAGCAGAAAGTGACCAACATCAATTGGTGCAGGCAATTTGATGACCTTCGCTCGCTGTGTGCTTATCAGTTGCAATGTCTCTACACTCACACCGCTTGTGAACCCTGCTGTGGCGCACAGTGTGCTGCGCACATAAAGAAAGAAAAGCAATAAGCACGCGACAACAGGCGAAGGGGGGGCTGAGGAAGCGAGCGGAGGTGGTTGATGAGGATGTCAGCAATGTAATAAAAAACGGAAGAGAGCCAGCCATCGGGTGAGCAGGCGCCAGGTGTTGGTTAGCGGGACTGCGGCAGGTGAATGTAGGTGATGCGTTTATTACAGATAGAAAGAAAAGCAATACGGCACGGCACGGCACACAGCAACAGGCAAAAGGGAAGGAGGGAGCTAGCCGAGGTGGTTGAGGGGGCTTGGTAACGTAAACAAAAACGGAAGAGCTCCAACGGGTGAGGAGGCACCAGGTGTTGGTCAGCGGGACTGCAGCAGATGAATGTAGGGGGTACGTTTATTACGCGAGGAGTAAAAAATCTAAATTTTGATGGCTGAAGTTGGGGGTGCATTTAATATGCGAGTGCGTTCATTATGCGAGTAAATACGGTATATTACTGCATGCATGATAACTTGTAGGCATTCTTTATGTATCCCAATAAAACTACACAACGAATGAAAAGCATTAGCGATTAACCGTGATGAGGGCCTTTTCTTCGTAGTCATGAAGCTTGCAAAAGTTTGTCCGAGCCTCATTGCACTCTTTCTTTACTGATAAATCTACATGCCAAACACTGCAGGAAAACAGTTTCTTTCTTACTGCACTAACACACTCACAAGCATCTTTGCGCATTCTTTTCCAAACACTGCAAGAAAACAGTTTCTTTCTTACTGCACTAACACACTCACAAGCATCTTTGCGCATTCTTTTCAAAGGTAATAACTGGGGATGAGAAGAAAAAAGAAAAATGGGTAACTAAGCTACGTGAAAGCTGACATCACTGCTACAAGCTGCTACATATGTCGTGACTCCAGAATATGAGCTATTCACTGCTATACAAATGAGCAACATCGACAGCTCCAGTGTTTTCGCACTAGTGGCGATAAGTTGGATAGACAATGCGCTGTGTGAGCTCACGTAAGCTGACAGACCTTAGCCAACAACTCAATGCAGCGATGGCACATGTCCAGGTATTTAGCCAAGAGGTGGAACTTAAAAGACAAGGAAGTGAAAATGAAAAGAGTGATGCGGTATAAAGCAAATCAAGAGTGACACATTGCAGCAGAAAAACTTGGACAGTGAGAAAAGCTGCAGAGTTGAAAACATTCTAGTTAGGGTTTTCAGGACAGGCCAGAAAAGGTAACAGACTATGTGCAAGCTGTATAAAGCAACAATAAAAGTACCCTAGGAGCATGACACTCCAGACATTTTGGCAAACTAATCTGTGTATATTAAGCTTGATTTTAACATACATTAGTCTTTACTGTCCCTAAGGAAAGTTCAAGTGCCTACAGACAATTATTCATTCTGATTATTCCTCCTCCCTACCTTCTGCCTTTGTTTTCTTCCTTCTTGATCTTTTCTCATCCATGTGAATGTACAATACAGGTATGTTACTTTTTTAGATTGGAAATCATTTCAGTATGTTGACTCTGAATAAATAGAACCCTACCGTAGTTGATCTATACAACCAAAAATGGCAAGGCAAGCTAAAAGAACTTTACAAGACAGTGATATTGCCAGCAACATTGTACAAACTCAAAATTACCCCGATTATTAAATGTGGTTGCAACGAGAATGCTAAAGTTATGGTGCAACAGAAACTTAAAAAATGTGAAATGAGTATGAATGCTTAGAACACAAAACGCACAAGTTTAATGCAGGTCACCTCCACTATACAAACCTCTATGAGCAACAAACACATACAGTCTGAAGGAACAACCCAAATAAAATAGCATCAAATGCCTCAGCTACTGAAGAGGACAGAAAACAATGCACACTCAGATAACTTGCCTTGGCATTGACATGTGTTCCCAAGTAGTGCTCGGCAATTCTTGAGAGAAATCCCAATGTGTTGCATGCAACACAGCGGAACATCTTTGTAGCGGGATTGTAGGCAGCCACCGGAGAGCCATCCCAACTGAACTTTTCTTGTCCTTGAACCCAACCATCACTAGCTGATGCTCCTGGATCACGCTTTGTCTTGCGTTCAGACTTTGTTGAAGTACCCGAACTGGGAACCTACAAGAAATTTCAATGCATGTCTCAGCAGCAGAGCATGAAAACCTGCTTTTGAACTTTGTGCGTCATGACTAGCTTCAAATTTGAAAATGACCTTATGTAATACAAGTTCCTGCATCATACATACAACTACCTCAAGTTACCACGGATGTCCGCTGGCTGTGCATAACGAGTACAAATGTCCGGCCACTCTGATAGCCAACACAGATAGCCAATGGACGTGTCCATGTCCCATGTGACTATTTTCTGGACATTCGAACTGGGTGTCAGCTTCAACATTCAGTCTTGAACATTGGCTGGCTGTCCATATACCAACATTCCAAGGATATGTATATTTGTTGATCCTTTATTGTAAAATTAGAACGTAGTGAAAAGCACAGTTGACAATCATGCAAAATTTGATAAAAAATATTGTACTATAAAATTTGGCACATACATTTGATCTGAGGATGCCAAATAATTATGCCTCCTGACAGTAACAAAACAATGTGGTTGATTCAATATATGTATCATATGTCATAAGAAGCAATGTGTTAAGTATAATTATTATCGCATGTGAATGCGGTGGTCTAGTGGCTAAGGTACGCTGCTGGTGATCCGCAGGTAGCGGTATCGAATCCAGGACACCGCGGCTGCATTTTCGATGGAGGCGAAAATGCTGTAGGCCCGTGTACTCAGATTTAGGTGCACATTAAAGAACGTCCAGGTGGCCGAAATTTCTGGAGCCCTCCACTACGGCATCTCATTGTCATATGGTAGTATTGGGACGTTAAACCCAACATAACCATAAATCCATCAATCAATCAATCGCATGTGAACAAAAATGAGGATCAAGCGAGTCATAGCAGTCATGTAAGCAAACTTTCATGAGCTAGCCACGATGCTTCTTAATAAGCAGTGCACAGCAGTTGCTCAGATTTTTGGAGCGTACACGTCATGCTTGTCGTGCCCCTCTGGATGTGTTGGGAGAAAACGTGCGCCACTGTGCATATTGTCCCAAAACTTGCTTGACCAGCAGTGCACACTGAGGGAAGGAGCACAGAAAAGGAAAGTGTTCGTGTTGCGTCGCACCTATGTTGAGCCGGTCTCCTAGCGGCAGAAGTCAGATATTTTTTCTCAAGTCCGCCCATGTGGGCATCAGCAAAAACATGTGAAGTTACAAAGAATAGCTTTTTGGCAAAAAACACCAAAACACGGCACGAGCCCACCACTATTTTCGGCAGATTACCGCAGCAAGCAACAACGAACCTACACTTAATGGACTCTTCACATGCACAGCACAGATAAGGCCACGTGATACGACTGTTCGCTACATCTCATCAGACATTTATCTGTTCTTATAATGCTTTAAGTGTCCTTTGTAAAAGCCTTGCTAATACGTGGTGTGTTTCCAGTTCTACATTTGCTCGCATATATTCCTTGCTATTAACCGATTTAAGACGCGCATGTGGTTGGTGCCTGTGAGCCTTTTTTAGATGCATGAGCTACACACATAAGTTTTTCTCCGGTGCTTGTCTCTAGTACGTACGTATTGTGTTTCCTATAATAGCATTGCTATAAACACACGCAATAGGGTTTGTTACTAATAAGTTCATTTAATACACCCGCAAAGAAGCTCTTGTTTCCACCTGAAGTCATCGCACTTGATGGCAGAAGGGCATTAAGCCCTGCAATCTTGTACCACTACGTATAGAATTTCAAAAGTGCAGCTGTGAACTGTGAGTTATGTGCTTCTTATTCTTAGCCTTGATGTATAAGTTAGCAATAAAAGTTTGATTGCTTTTGAAAGCCCGCTTGGACTCCAGTTTTCTAGAATTCATTTGCAGCAGAAAAGCTCCCGCGGAAAAAAATACGGGCCCCTTAGTAGGCTGTGTGGGCAATTGTTCACATGAAATATTTCTTGAATATGCCCTAACTATACACACACACACACACACACACACACACACACACACACACACACACGCACGCACACACACACACACACATGCGCACGCACGCACGCACGCACACACACGCACGCACGCACGCACGCGCGCACGCACGCACACACACACACACGCATCTACTGAAGGGCCTGCCCCGCTGCGGTGGTATAGTGGCTAAGGTACTCGGCTGCTGACACACAGGTCGCAGGATCGAATCCTGGCTGCAGCTGCTGCATTCCCAATGGAGGCGGAAATGTTCTAGGCCTGTGTGCTCAAATTTGGGTGCATGTTAAAGAACCCCCAGGTGGTTGAAATTTCTAAAGCCCTCCACTACAGCGTCTCATAATCATATGGTGGCTTTGGGACGTTAAACCCCACATATCAATCAATCCACTGAAGGGCCTGTTAATGTCCATGTTGGTGACGTGCATCATGTCGAGCGAATGTACAAACTTGTTACTTCGCACAACCGATCTACGTTCGTCGACAGACGTACAGTGTATGTTCTGGGCATCTGGTGGATGTCTGGAATATTCGAAATGTACGTCCCGTCGTAGCGTGCCGGTTTTCCGTGGTTGCTTGGAGCAATTATGCCTCTACAAATGAAACTGCCAGTATACTGCTGCAAAATCTAGGATAGCAACATAATTAATGATTTGAAAACTGAAACCAAGAGGGAATCATTTGTAACACAAAACACATCGTGCCTAATCGATTGTATTATAAGAATTCAAGATTGTGATTTCGTTCGAGAAAACCATGAAAAAATTACTGAGCAGAGACATTAAATAAATAGTTCACATTGTGGCAGCAAGGATGACCTGAAGTGCAGGTTCAGACTAGTCAACATTGCCTAATCAGCAGAGCCGCATAGTAACTGTGACAGTACCAGTCGCATTGCTTTTATTTTTGCACTTTAATAGTTTCTCTGTCCAACACTGTTTATTCTGAAAATCAAGAAAGATGTGTTGATCAAGGGCTTGTTTTTATTTTTATGAACAACCCAATGAATCCAACAGACAGTGAAGTCAAGGAAAGTACAGGGGCATTATTTATTGTCATTAACCACTGTGTGGTAATTATGATGTAAATATAGAGAAACTAAAGTCGATGCAAAGACAACCTGCCATTGGAAGGAACCAAACCTTAGTAATTATTGTTGGGGTCCAATGTCCCAAAACCAAGCTACGATTCTGAGAGGTGTTATTAGTTGAAGACTCCAGAAATTTCAACGCCCCCGCGTTCTTGCACCTAAATCAATGTACACAAGCCTCTGGCATTCTTGCCTCCATCGAAAATGCGACTACCACGGCCGGGACTCGATCTCGTGACCTGCAGGAGGAACCACACCTACAATCTTTGGATTATGCGTCCGATGCTCTACCAATTGAGCTACAGTGATGACGTCCTCCAATCTATTTTACCGTGTATTCTCAGTATGTAAACCTGGGAGTGTTAGCCAGCGCTGGTAGTAGCCATGATAGTGAGAGTCGAACTTTATTTTTGCCAGCTGGTGTCAAGTAGATCACAATCTTTTTACAAGCTGACAGCCGACGAGTAATCCTCATATAATTTTCCCCATGACTGCTCACCTAGACACACAGAAAAAAATGCAAAAGCTGAATGCAAAAGCTTGCTGGAGAAGACGAGACAACTGTTGGAAAGTATCATCATTAAGACAATCCATAAGAAGATCACTAAGACATCATAGGTGAAGTATTCATACTAGTAGATATAATGCATAGCTCAATACAGATCAATATTTCTTCAAAAAATAAAGGGCTCATCAAGAATTACTAAACAAATCTGTTGTGCTCACTTATATGAATCACAAACAAGACATTATTTATAGATTATTTATAATAGAGTAGACTCACAATAATTCATACTCTGGTAATTCATACTTTTTATTAATTCAAACATAATTCAGTTTTCTGGTTCACCCTCTATTCTTTTATTGTATTTATAAGCCTCTTAATTCAAACTCCATCATTTGATTAATTTATACTTTTTTTGCGATTACATGCCAAAAAATAGCTGCTGTTTTCCTACTGCTATTTAAAATTTTGTGTACATATATAACCTTAACAGTCTAAAAATGAAAAATAAGCACATAAGGCCTTCAAGGAAAATGGCTTTGCTAGTAAACAAATGTTATAAATGAAGGACACACATAGTAAACCATGATGGTCTCAACTGGTGCTGAAGGCACATATAGCAAAAAAACACTTGGCAATTTCCTATTTATTTAAAAGGTCTGATAAGTAATAAATGGCCAATAAACTTAGGGATCTTACACCTCTGCTTTATGTTCATTGTGTGCAGCTAGGGTATAAAAGTACTTTAAAAAATTTAAATGTGATAAAATCAATGCATCACCTTGCCCAGAGCCATATATCTGAACTCCTCATTACTCACAGACAGACAGACAGACGGACGGACGGACGGACGGACGGACGGACGGACAGACAGACAGACAGACAGACAGACAGACAGACAGACAGACAGACAGACAGACAGACAGACAGACATGTGGAGCTTAACGTCCGAAAACCACAATACGATTATGAGAGACACTGTAATGGAGGACTCCGGAAATTCCGACCACCTGGGGTTCCGAGATTGCGTGCTGACAGGAGGCTGGCAATTGAAAAGAGAGCGACATTCCAGGCATAGTTTTTCTAGGAGGCGTTGGTTCAGATTTCTATAAGATCTGAAATGGCGATTCTTGTAGCTAGTAAATATCAACCACGGAAAGCGGCAACCCACGGACCGTTCATGTTTGTGCAGCTTAATGTCATTTCAGCATTTGGAGAGTTATAATAACATGCAGCCAAATCTGAGCACACGGGCCTACAGCATTTCCGCCTCCATTGAAAATGCATTCGCCGTAGCCAGGAATCGATCCCGTAACCTGCGGGTCAGTAGCCGAGTACCTTAGTTACTAGACCACCGTGTCGGGGCTTATTCAAACTTCTTGATAATGCAAACAAATTCAAAGGTTCTTTTGAATTTGAATTAATGAGTTGACTGTATTATCAAGCAGCCAGTTTAATGAAGGCACCTAATTTATAGGATCACAAATGAAAAATTAAATCAGTGTCATAACAAATATAGCAGTTTGGACAGGTTCTCAGAACTTTTACAGAGAGCATGACAGTAAGAGCAGGTCCCTGCAATAAAAAAAAGTCATGCATGGAACACAGGCGGATATATAACTCATATTGAGGGGGGGGGCAGTCACATGAAGTAATACTGCAGAAGGGGAAGGATGACTTTGTTTGTATTGGCACAAATACCCCACCTTCTTCTTTCTCAAATCATCACTCATAGCATAAATACTCTTATGTGCTCACAATGAACTTTTTTCAAGCCATCCCAGAAGACTCCACTGATGCGCAGAGCACTGTGGGAAAAGTGTGCATCGAGCAAGCCCGCTGTTCGGTCACCCACAGCTTGTCGGTGCCGTGGGAGCAGAAAATGAAAAAAGAAAACGTCACTGCTTGTTTGCTGTTCTTAAATCATAAATACTACACTCTGAACGCACCTACATGTATTCATTTCTACACATAAAACATGAAAGGAGTGATGCAGTGCAGATGTCATCGAAGGATGTATATCAAATGAGTGGCATGCACGTCATCGCGTGCTGATATCATCAAGACGAAAAATTGCAAGCAATGTCAGTTGCAGCACCGAAGTGATATTTATTCAACGGATACTTCTAGGTGTCTAGACATGAATGTGGCATATAGAATTGCAAGAGATTAATCAATTGCTGGAGTTCTAAGAGCTAAAACCATCATAAAGCAAGCCGTAGTGGGGGACACCATATTAAATTTATATGCCACCTGGGGTTTTTTAAGGTTTGCCTAAATTTAACCATGCGGGTGTTCTCTTGAACTTTGTCCGCCATCGAAATACCGCCGCTATAGCCTTAAACTGACCCCACACCCTCGAGCGAATCGCAAGAGAAATTTCCCCTTAAATATTTAGTGTCCTGAACACTTTTGCACTTAGCACATATATTTGGAAAGTAATTTCAGAGCTTCATCTAACCTCCTCACTATAATATACCTATTTATGGTGGGGATGGTTACCTCTGAGGCAGCATGCAAAAAGACAACTGCAAGTTGCAAAATCCAACTCTTGCGGTTAGTGTGAACTGTGCGTTATACACCAGAACACAGAGAGCTCAGTGCTTGCTGCCATACTGAAAAGCGCGTGGCGCCATCTGTTGCAAGTGCGGCGAAGCAACACACTCAACCGCTACGCGAGCAGACGCTCCGCAAATCAAACATGAAACTTCACAACCCGAGTGTGGCTGCAACCATGTTTCGTTCTGTTCCTGTGCTGGAATTTTATGTTGATTTTGTGTGAAACATCGAGGAGACCTTTCTCGACAGTCTGGAATGTCTGCAGCAGCACATGCATTGCAGACTACGGGAAGCAACTTCAACAGGTACGTGATATCACACTGAAAGAAACGCGAAACAGCCTTAACTCCGGTGTGCCTTGGCTGTGACAAGGCAGAATTCGTGCTGTAAGCCGGCATCGACGTAGCGCTACAATCTGGCTCCAACTTACGCTCATGCACCACATATGTATCAATTGCCAGTCCTGCCCGGGCACTCCGAACAAACACACGGTGCAAAAGTGCCAGCCAGAACAGATTTTAAATGGTACGGTGACGCCAGCGGAAAGCACATGTAGATTCACTTAGTGACAGTCAAGGCATGTCGCAGTTCGATCTGAGTAAAAAGCCACGCTTTCCACGCCGTTCACATCTCTTTTCATCGGGATAGTAGGGCCGTTATAGTTGTACTAAACATGCGCGGCGCATGCATCTACGCGTGAGTCGTAATACGTATACCCTATTATTGACATGCGGCCTGCAAAAGAGTACAGCAATAGTTTTATGCCACATACTACAAGCATACTGCATGCAAATCGCTGCTGTAAATGGAACAGCTGGAGTCGCGCTCGAATAAGCGCAATAAGTATATTTACCCATACACTTCACTGGGCTCGTAGTTTTTCCTGCTGATTGCGATTATATCCTATAGGGCGGCCGAGCTCGGCGTTTTTCGTTGTGGGTGGAAATCTGTGCAATCGCAAAACACCGCACCGGCACGATTCCTGCAATGCGCTGTAGACTTCACAAGCAGTGCTCAGCAATCTCTTCCTTTTGCGCTGGTTGTCGCATCAGATGACAGGGCAGTGGTGCCCAGATGACACTTTATAAGCGGGCACAGCGTGAACAGGCACATTTTGGATTTTATACTCCCAGAGCCACTGCATGCCATGGTAACGAGGCACGCCTTGGCAGTTCCAAACAAATTATGGCTTCTCTGGGAGCGAGGGTATACCGCCAAAGGCGCCTTGGTGCGAGATAGGCGTGCTCTCGTCTATAGATGTTTATCATTTATGAGCTGTGGTGCTAGCGATGTTCACTGACTAGTTAATTCATCTTACTTTACTAAATGTTGACTTTACTCTCTTATATTCTTCTTAAATATCAAAATATCATTTTGTGCTCGCCGACATTGTTGTTGAAGATCATTTTCAAGTGCATCTGCGAATTTCACGCAGACAGCTCATAGCTTCATCTCGGAAACCAAGCTGTACTTCTTTATTCAATTTACACCGTAGGGCATACTGGCACAAACAAAAATATTATGCTTGTGAATCGTTCAGCTGGTCCAACACTGGATCGAATAAACACTAGTCAGATGGAAATCATAAATGCCACCTCAGTTAAACACAGATGTTCATGAGAGAATAGCATATTATTACTTTGAACTTTGCTGAATTCACTAGCTCTGAAACAGGCTAGCTCAGCACAAGAAGAAAGCTGAAGCATGATGCCAGCGCACTTGTCTTACACCCCTTCTGCACCCCTTCTGGATTCACCACTGACATGACAATGAATGCACCGAGTTATTCATGGCTTGTACTGGAATCATTCTCAGTAGGTTCACAATAATTCAGACTGATATTTGATACCTTTATTAATTCAAACAAGTTTCCAATTTAGGGTTTGTTTTCATGTATTGTGTTGTTTCATACTTTTTACTTGTCTGTACTACAGTCATTGGGTGCACTGGTCCTTCTTAACAGAATATTTGTCTTCATACATTTTTAAAGGGACAAAAATAAATGCAGCTGCCTGCTTGAGCTTCTAAATGTGATCAGAATCACAATCAGAAAAAAAGAGAAAAAAATATGTCAGGAATCCACAGGATAATCTTCCATCGTTGCTTATCCTCAAATGTAGCACCACATCACATTAAGGCTTGCATAGATAATTCAAATGAGATTGTAGGGGCCTGGTTAGAATTATTGAGGATATAACATATTCTCACGATCTGACCAATGCAATACGAGGTCAAGCCTGTACACCACAAATTTTTATCACTTACTCTGGAATGTTGCTGTTGCTGTTGCTGCTGTTGCTGTTGTGGTTGCTGCAGCTGTTGCTGTTGATGAGGCGGGTGGGCTTTTTTGGCACAGTCATCAGTTGTCGGCAATGGTGGTGCAAGAGGTGGGAACAGTGGATAAGGAGGCAAAAAGTGGGAGGCTGAGCCTCGACTAGCTTGCAACAAGGCGCTCACATGTTTGCCCACATTCTGGTTTGTGTAAATGCCCTCTAAGCAGCTGAAAGCTGCATTCAGAGTGCCTTTGTCCATGCTGGGTCATTCTCGTCCAGGTCCCACTTGGTAGCCCTGGAAGAGCCATACATACATGAAAAAAAAATATATTAAATCAACACTAAAAAAAAGGAGGGGAGGGGGTGCAGCAGCGGCTACTTGCAGCAAGTAGCTCGCAAGAAGCATAAAAAAAAAGATTTCTTTAGCGAATAAAAGCTTCCTTGTTTTCTCAAAAAGCCTGTCATTCAATTCGAGCATGTATCAAAGTGATGGAGCAAATATAGAAATAGTTCACCGGATCAAAATTGAAAGTACAGCTGTGTTATGAAACAATGTAAAAAAACACACGACAAAAGAATTTGCACCCTTTACTTGAGACTGTTTGCGATCCCATTTGCCTTTGTGATGTTTGCTATTGATGACGTCAATCACCACTGCATGCTAACAGTACCCATTTCAAAGAGTGAGCTGATCGTTATGTGCCATAATACATAATGATCAGCTTATTTATGAAAACAGATTGCAGTGGTGTGGCACTACTAGCTGATGGCAGCACCCAATGTCTTCATTCCCAAAACTAACTACATACTTGAGCCACTTTTTTTTGAAACCAATAACTAATATTTCTGTGGTTCAGGTTTGGCTTGGCTTCACACAATTTCCAAGAATAATGATCTGAATTTGGGTTCAGCTCTGGCCACAATTCTGGTTTGGGTACAGCTTTCGGTTGGAGTTGGTTCAACGCACTAGTTATCGGTGCTTAAATATGTTTTCAGACATCTATGCCACTGGAATGCTACGATTACCTTGAAACCCCAAGTGGATGTACTCGCTCTGTGCTTTATGATGGCGTACCATGCGTGCGCACCATACGTGCGCACCATACTGTCTTGAATGCTCCATGCTGCTGACCACTTTATTTTGAAATTTTCTTACCTGAGTATAGTCTTCCACACATTTCTACCTCAATCCAGATAAAATGTCTTCATCATGATCAAGTATGACGGACATTAAGGTGTACAAACATTTACAGTTCAAGCATCAAGCAGATTAAATATACTAGCATGATGCTACTGATGACCACCTTCTAGTTTGATTTTGATGCAAGGACCAAAATTAATCATGTAACAAAGTTATTTGATAAAGAAGTAAGGCTACATTGAAGACAACAATGGCTGGTACTGATGATGCTATGATTTATTGATATGGCTATGATTGATTGATATGTAGGGTTTAACGTCCTAAAACCACCATATGATTATGAGAGACGCCGTAGTGGAGGATCCCGAAAATTTTGATCACCTGGGGTTCCTTGACGTGCACCCAAATCTGAGCACACAGCACTCTACAGCGTTTTCGCCTTCATCGAAAATGCAGCTGCCGCAGCCGGGATTCGATCCCATGACCTGCGGATCAGCAGCCAAGTACCTTAGCCCTAGTCTACCGCAGCGGGGCTGATGCCATGACAATTTTAAGCACTGACTAATATGTGAAGTGCTTGTAATGTGTTGTTTTTCTGGAATAAAATGGTAACCACACACATGGTAATAATCCGGGTTTCGTATACCACAGACATTCCTCCAACAACATTTACATGCAGTACCACAGCAATGTTACCACATTTGGCAAGGAATACAGACCAGTTTAAAGTCTCGTTTGCATCTACTGTATGGAATATTTTCTCTTTGCACATTAGTTCATTATTGTGCACAGTAGTTCATTATTGTGAACATTGATATTACCGCACTAAACAGCGATATGAGCTGCAGAACATGAATATATTGCAACAAAATGAGGATAGAAGGCCTGCACACTAGCAGCCAGTTACCCCGATGGCAGCCATCTATTCTGAAAGCATCAACTGTGGCATCTCAGAACACGGGTCTTGCCCGCAGACCATGTTTTTCATCTGCAGCCCAAGCCACCCATGACTGCCTTCATCAAGTTTTACGTGAGGTACCCCGTGCAGTCACTGTGTGTTGAAACATAACAGTGCAACAAAAACTATTTTCAAAATCAGCATCAAGAGTTTAATAATTCTGGAGATCTGCATCAATATGTTCATTGAGTCCTGAGGCCCCTGTCCTTTGCAAAAAAGAGCCATATATGCGATATGGGAAATGCTTTCTCTAAAACAGCCACAATAGCTCACATTTTGTTCAGGAAGCTAATCATTGGCAGTGAGAGGGCAAATTATTCGATAAATCAAAGTAGATGAACACTGAATAGGGCAAATTACTTCTATGGAATTCTGCAAGGTGGAGGAACGGTTATGAAATGGAAAATTTCTCCCAGAGCAGGGTGAATTTTTCATCACCTATAAAGTGTTTCCACCCAAGAGATCCCTATGCATTTCTTTGTAGCTTCGTGTTACAAAAGTGTGGATGCCTATGATAACTGTTCTTCGGCCTTCCAAGATCACAAAGAAGTGATCTGCTACATTCAGTGTCCGTGTGATTCGAGTTGTAAATTAATTCACCCTCACACTTCGAATTTCAAGTTTCAAGGTTTGCTAAATTTTCAAAGCGACTGTCCAAAAAATGTGCTGTTCTTAAATTTGAAACCTTGACCAAGATGCATTTTTTTAAAGACTTATCTTTCTTAAAAATCATTATGTATTTCATTTTGGCTTTGTGCTGAAAATGCCAATATTTCCTTCTCTAACCCTTCCTATACGTTGGTTTTATGGTCATCCAGACCTTGTCCTGACTAGATTGTGGGCCTTATAGCTGCTTATCCCCACGAGGCCATCACATACCCCCAGCTAGCAAGTGGTGCAGATTGGGAGAAGCATGGAAAAGAAAACTGCGTTGTCCTGTGAACAGGGCATTTTCATTATACAATACAAATTTTTATAAATATCCTATCATGGACAGGCCCCTATTGCTTCAGAGGACGAACTCTACATAAGAGCAGAAATGCTTTGCAATGCTAAAATTGTATTAAAGTGATTAATTAGAAAAACACATTTAGTCAACTTTTCTATTACAGGTTTGTACGCCATTATTCATATTAAAAAGTTGCAGCACATGACCATTTATGGAAAGTTCATTTTTTCAGAAGTCACAATAGTTCCCGCAGTTTGAGACATTTATCAGCGAATTTTAATAGTGATATCGAAACTGACTGTACCCTACACGCAGAAAACATGGCTGCTCTGTCACATCATACCAGAACTTCCCACGACAAGAAAGTCGAGAAATTTGAAAGAAGGTGCATCGCAGCAATATCCTGTTGTCGAAAGCGGCAATAAGTCATCTCTCTTGTACCAACCGGTCGCTTCCTTCGAGTGCAATGTTTAGTGTTTCTTTCAGGCTGAGTGCAAAAAATATATATATGACTTTTTTACCTTTCGATGGGCAACAAACTCAGTGGCAACCACTACGACGCTTCTTCGTGCATGCAGGTAACAGGCGACAGAGTTCTTTGAGCCTGTTTACCGTTTATGGCACTACATGCCTCACAAAAATAATAAGCGGTCTACTAGTGTATTTAAATTAACATCGATGACGTGCCGACTCTCCTTACCAAATTATTCTTCAATGCACCTTGATTCAAATTTTGTCATTGCCTTGTTATGGGTAGCTCCGGTGTGAAGCGGCGGCGCTTCTTAAACGCACTTTTGGTCACTCTGGTTTTGATACCGGCCTTAAAATTACATGATGAATATCTCAAAATTAGCAATATGTAAAAAATGGCTAAAACTAATTATCGTGCTCTACAACTTTTTTCATGCAACAAATGCCCTCAAGTCAATCATTAAAAAGTTAATGAACAAGTTTTTGTTGATAAGTAACTACGACGTCATTTTGGCTGTGGCCAAGTAATTCCGGCTCGACGTAGATTTTGTGTGTGAACGCGACAAGAGCTTGATGTAGAAATTTCGTTTGAAAATCAGTAGTGCCTCCCCCCCCCCCCCCCCCCCAGAAAGGCTGTGGGAACAGTTTACCGAGTTCAGTTCCAAATGCTAGAGTGAAGCAAGATGCTGAACAAGCTTGATGTATTCAAAGGTCGGCAGATGTACTGATAATTACACTAACTTAAGTTATCAGTGCACGCAGAAATACGGCTTTCCCTAGCAAAATATGCCAAAATGCAGCCATTACAGGAACACGTGCCTGCTTGTTCACACGAACACGTGCCTGCTTGTTCACACAATGCACATTTGGAAATTTCAGCGAGCGAAAGAATCCAACAAATAAAGAAAGATTATCAAATTAACCCCCCCCCCCCCCTTCAAGCAGACGCGATGAATGAGGGTTGCTGTCAGGGGGTACTGTACTGCACATTTTCTTTGCTTCATTCTCTGCCAAGCTAAAGCTAGCGTCCATTGCACATAACTAGAACTAGGGATAATGAACTTGACCTGATATGTGTCAATTAAGACAAATTCGCACACGAAATGGATCAAATCACTTTCTGCACACACTTCTAGTATTTTTGTGCACCAGAGGATTTGCTAACACTGACTGTTCGCGGTTCACTTGATACAAAATGAGCGACGAACAGCGCACCTACAAAAAGCTACGAGCACACATACATACCGCTTGTGAATAGTGCTTTTTGTAGCTTTCTGTTCCGTCTAGGCGCACTGTTCCACGCTCGCATTCACCAATATCTCCTCTATGAAACTTTCTCTGCCCCTGAAACAGATCTTATTACACCTAATTACAAGGCAGAGTGTGGAGTCTTCGTGTCACTGCCCGATGCCACGAGTAGTGCCCGCAAGACTTGGAGAAAATTTTTTGGTCCACAAAAGAAAACAGCTCTAAACATGGAGCATTCAAAAGGTGCACATGCTGATTGCGATCAAGCCGCAACCAAGATCAAGTTTTTCAATAGTGCACATAATTTGCTCCCATGTGCAACTTGTTATGCATACAGGAGCAGACCAATGAGCTCCACTCCCGACCGAGATCAAAAGTTAAGTGACCCTGCACTGTCATCTGCATTTTTTTAGAAGAATGAGCAAAACATTTACACTGTTTTAACCCTTGCGATGTTCATTTAGCACTGTTTTTGACCAACTGATTTTGACCAACTGATTTTAACCAACTGACTCACATGCAGATCTT